GGTTGTGTAGGAGGATTTATTTTGCATAGCCAATTTAGGAGTCAGAATTCATCATTCAACGACATCTACGTATTATTGAATTGATAATATTTGCATCGAGGATCAGTAAAATAATTCGGGGTGGAAATCAGTTCAACCGGAGCACTTTGGTAATATCTTTCATCTTCATCTTGTTGTTGCTTGCGAATATCTTGCTTTCTTTATTTTCTTATTAACTAGATAATTAGGATTAAAAACCAATTCTCCCCCATTTTAATCACATAGTCATTTAATTATATTATTCCCCGTGGATACGATCCTTGCTCACGCTACTATATATATTCAAGCAAGGTTAATTTGGGTGCCTACGACAGGACGACCAAATTTTTTCCACTAACTTGTGCCTCCAACCGATTCACAGAGGTCGCGAGCTGGCTTACTTGAGTTTCAAGGGTCTGGATGCTCACCTTGGTTTCTTTTTGAAATTGGAGAGTACTGGAGGCTAGTTGCTTCACTATGCTCACCTTGGTTTCTTTTTGAACTAATACCAATAAAAAATTTTATTTTTATTTTTGTTAGACTTTGTTTTGTTTCTGTTGCTGATACTTCTCTGTCTATTCTCTGTGGCAGGTATTTTGTTCCAACATTGGGACTGATGGTGTTGGGCTTAAAACGACATGACCATGTCATTAGAGACTTGGAACTTTTTCCACAGCAACTTGGAATCGTGAGAGCTTTACTGGGAGGTCTGACAGATTTTTGAGATTATCCATGCACAATGAGAGCTGCCACCTGAATAAAATTTTGTGAGTCTCTATGCCTAGCATTACTTCATATTATTTGACGTGTGGCTAATAGTGTTTGTCAGAGTTTTGAGTTCTGAGGTTTGTTTAATGGTGTTGAGTCTTGATTGTTATTTCTCTTGTGGTCATTTTTAATTCATCTATGCCAATTCAGTAGAACAATCCTTTTCTTGTGTCCATACATTTGTTTTGTTTGAGCCATTGATGCTACATGATGATGAATATTACTTGATGATTCTGTGATGGAGACGCATGGGATTAACACTTAGCTATTACCTTCCTATTGGTGAGATTTGAGCTTATGAGCATATATTATATCTTGCTCCATTTTCTTGAATGTGTGATGTCTCGACTAGTTGGTTTTTCTAGAACTTGCCTTGCTATGCATGTCTATGTGTACACCTTTGATGAAATTGAATGCATAAAATCTAAGGGTACTTAGGACTTGCCATTTCTCTTTATAGCCTCTCTTTTGAAGCCCACCCTTTTTCATAAATCACTAGTAAGCCCTTTTGAGCCTTAAACCTTTCTTTGATTTATAATCACATTATAAGCTATAATATCCTTTTCTTGATGCCATATTTTGAACCTTGGATCGAATCAATTATATGAATTTCTTTTGGATGAAGAAAAGTTCATGGTATTATGTACTTAGATGTGATCGTGCCTTGTACGTAGTCTCGTTATCCAACGTAGGCTAGTTTATCTTCTATTTCGTATTTAAAAAAAAAATAAAAAAATAAACAGCTGGACAAGAAGCTGGAAAAAAAAAACTGAAAAGAAAAAAAAAAGTAGAAAAAAAAGAAAATGAAAAAAAGAGGCAGGCATTCTGTACAGATTTTATTTTTATTTTTATATTTTTTTTTCTTTCTATGTTGGCCGATTATTGAGAATCGCATGATCATCTTGCATTGAGCTTGGTTTATGATGAGTTTGTGTGATTGGTTCGATCCCGTTAGCCTTTATCTTTCTTATCTCACCTTACCCTAAGCCTCATTACAACCCGATTTAACCCTTTGATTTTGTGTTTATTCTTACGTGATTGTTGGGTATATTTCTCATTGGTTGGTTGATGGGGACTCAAGTTTGACTTGTGTGTTGATGCTTACTTTATGTTTTGAATTGGCATTGAATGATAGATGACGATTATGAGTTGAGATAATGGATTTGACTTGATGCTTGAGGACAAGCATCGTTTTAAGCGTGGGGATGTTTGATAAGTCGAAAATACGTGCTACTTTTGTAATGTAACTGAGGAAATATGTTGGATATTTGTGCTTAATTAATTTATTTTCGACCTTAACTTATAATTTCGAGTGGAAACTACTATTGTTGGAATTTTGTGTGCAGTTGATCATTATAACCAACATGGCAACAGTGGAATTTTGATGGACATGGCAATGTTGGACTTCTAAGGAACAGACAGTGCTGCGAGTTATTTTGGATGTGGGCCTATTATTGCTAGGCCCATTATTGCTACTAAAGGACAGCCATAACAGAAGCAGCGGATATCAGATTTTAGGAGACCTACACTGAACGGAACAATAACAGCCGCAAGGGAGTAGACAAGGAGAATTGGACGCCACCAGCAGCCTTAAAAACACTCTCTTCTCGTTGTTCTATTTTTCTTCGACACTTTTGTTAGACTCTATGGAAGCCCTACGCGGCTAATTCTCTTTTGTTTCGGTTGAACACGATTGAAACCCCGAACTTAATACTGTGAGATCTAATTAGTTTTTATCTATTAATTCATATTTCGTATTAATTGTTTTGTGTGTTTATGTTTATGATTTTGTGTTAGGATCGTAGCCTGATCAACTATTGTCTTGTGCACTTAATCTATTGCTTGGTAGATATTGAGTCGGATTTAGATAATTTATCTATCGTAAGAAGCATCTAAGTATGGTGATTGACCGGATTTAGGCGTTATCATTCTTAGGCAAAATAGTTATACAAGTTAGCATTTAACGGATTAGTTATTTGTTGCTTGTGTTGTCGGGCTCTACTTCTTAATGCTATTGCTAGGATAATTTTACACGATGTTGAGAATTGCCTAGTAATGAGGGTTGTGTAGGAGGATTTATTTTGCATAGCCAATTTAGAAGTCAGAATTCATCATTCAACGACATCTACGTATTATTGAATTGATAATATTTGCATCGAGGATCAGTAAAATAATTCGGGGTGGAAATCAGTTCAACCGGAGCACTTTGGTAATATCTTTCATCTTCATCTTGTTGTTGCTTGCGAATATCTTGCTTTCTTTATTTTCTTATTAACTAGATAATTAGGATTAAAAACCAATTCTCCCCCATTTTAATCACATAGTCATTTAATTATATTATTCCCCGTGGATACGATCCTTGCTCACGCTACTATATATATTCAAGCAAGGTTAATTTGGGTGCCTACGACAGCACGACCATTTGCACACGCCGATTTATTGATTTTATGTATCACTCTTTAATTGTGCTTTTCAAGTCGGATTAGATCGACAGGTCGACTATAAGTTGGGCTTGATTTGGGTAAGTCCTCAATTAACAAGCAACCTAATCACTTACTGCTTGCACCCAATTTATTGAATTTATTAATATTCCTTTAATTGTGATTTTTTATTTGGACTAGACTGAGAGATCGATTATAAGTAGAGCCAAATTCTATAGGTCCTTCGTGGCTTATTCCTTTATTTTGTTTATCTTCCTTTAATCGTGGTTTTTGATTTAGACCAGACGTATGAGTCAACTCTAAACAGGGTCAATTCTCCAATTGTTCCTCTGGGACTTGTTCCATGCTACCGCATGCGGTAGTTCCTCATGGGGATTTGACCATACATTAACACATAGACACAATTTTCTAGTAAATTTTTCTGATTAGTTACTTATGTGTTTTAGCCACATTCACACAATTGTATTATAGCAGATGAATGGGAAAATTATTTTAACACAATTGTGTTAAACTCCCTTAACAAAAAATAAAATAAAATAGTGCATTGACAAAAAAGAGTATGGAAATCAGACCTTCCAGACGTTAGACGTTAGGGGTGTTTGATACAAAATAACTCAATTCATACTCAAAATATAATTCAACTTTAACTCAACCTCACTATCCTCAATATTATCAATATAATCAAATAATATCACTCAATCATTCTTACGCATTACATCAACTTTAATTCAATATTCATCAACTCACATAATTTTAACTAACCGTCACTTCACTTCATCTTTATCATACTTTTACATCAAATCACCTTTAATTATTTTATTTTAAATATTATTTTAATATAAACTCAAAATTCCACTAACAACTAATCATACAACTTTCTAAAATTAACCATATGGCTTTAGAAATCAAGAATCTTGTGCAAATTTCAAAATGTTTATAATGCCAGAATTGGAGGTAGTCAAAGCAGCATGGGGAGAATGGAGGGAATTCAACTTGGCACAATTACGAGCATCTATTGACTGAGAGGAAGCTGCTGCTAGGTTTCCAATGGAGTTCAGTGGTAGCAGGTTTCGTTCTTATTTTCCTTCGTTAGGCAGGTTTATGTGATCAAAGTATAATATTGGTATTATTGTGTGATTATCTAAAGGAATAAAGTGTTCTGACCTTTAGATGTATTTTAGCTTTGTAATTTAGGACACCAAGCTGTGCTGCTCCTTTTGATTGTCTCAAGGCCTAGTTAGGCTCGCGAATTGTAAAACTTTGATTTTATTTTTGGAATGAATGCTTATCGTATTGTTAAAAAAAAAATTAAAAAAATCCAAATAAAATCAAAACATCCTATATCCAAGCATCCCAATCCGAAGACCAAAATAGTGA